ATATATATATATAATTTTAGACATTTATTTAAACAAGACTCACGTTCTCTCATCCCTTTTAGATCCCAGCTATCGTTCTTTCCACTCTGGCTACGGGCAGGATGGTCTGGGTATGGATGGCATGCTGGAGCATGAGATGGGAGGCCACCATCCTGGGGCAGAGTACCCCGTAGAAGGATTGCCCGACTTGGGCCACGCTCAGGACCTGATGGATGGCTTGCCCCCTACAGACTCCAATCAGCTGGCCTGGTTCGACACGGACCTCTAAACATTCACAGTCTACAAGTATTGAAGGTAAGATGAGCTTCAAAAACTTGAACAAAAGTGTTCACTGTATTCTGCTTAAGTTTGAGTTAAATGAACATTGATGATCTTCTGTCTCTCCACAGCTGTATGTTGAATGAATCTGCATTGTGATTTGAAGAGTCGAGGAAGGTTTGCCAGAGGGTGGGCTAGTGTTTCAGAAAGTGCCTGACGCACAACACACTTGTCGCAGACGAAAGGGAGATATCTAACGGGGAAATGGTGGATGTCAGTCTCCCTTTAATGCTACGACCCTTTTTTTTTATTTAAATTTTTTTTTTTTTGCCCTGGATGGAAAAATGCAGGTACAGAGGGATTGTGACGCGGATGCTGACGAGTGCACATGAAAAGGATCTTTTAAGATGGAACTATTTTAACTTTTTTTTTCTTAATAAATATACACAGAACACACTATGTAAACAAACTTTTATTTTGGATGTGTATTTATTTCTCTCTATCTCTATCTCTATCTCTATCTCTATCTCTATCTCTATCTCTATCTCTATCTCTATCTCTATCTCTATCTCTATATCTCTATCAACACACTTGTCGCAGACGAAAGGGAGATATCTAACGGGGAAATGGTGGATGTCAGTCTCCCTTTAATGCTACGACCCTTTTTTTTTATTTAAATTTTTTTTTTTTTGCCCTGGATGGAAAAATGCAGGTACAGAGGGATTGTGACGCGGATGCTGACGGGTGCACATGAAAAGGATCTTTTAAGATGGAACTATTTTAACTTTTTTTTTTCTTTATTTTTTTCCCCTTTTCATTAAATCAGTCTTTTCATGGTACTGACCCTAGCTTGGTTTTTAAATCTGATCTTTTTTTTTTGTTTGTTTCTGCCATTTTAATTTGTATTACATATTTTCTTTTCTCTTTTTATGTCTTCTATAGTGTTAAGTTGTGGTGGACTTGCCTCATTGGTTTCTGGATCTTTATCACGTGCTAGTGTACAACACTAATCTCAGTTCCTATGTAATCTGACTGAAAGTGTAACAATGTGTAGCTTTTTATATGATCGGTTAAAATGGTGGTTGCTGGGAGTACAATAAAATTATATGCATTCTTACAAAATGCTTAAAGTTGAGTAAGGAGAAGCAGTTTTCAATGTCACTATTGTTCCAAAAAGGGTGTGGATGCAGCAGGGGTGGGTGGGGGGTAGATGGGGTTTATGAGGTATACACAGAGACCGAAATCTTTTCTATGCTATCTGGAGGTAGTCTCTATTGAAGCAACGTCATTGTTTGTTAGCCTGTGCAGCTTCTTTTGGGAACATGGATAATGACATGGCTAATCAATAAAAGACTTTTATTCCATTGTGTTTGTGATACCTAAATATAAAAGGCAACTATTATGACTCAAACTTTTTTATTTTTTTTTTGTTGTTTGCCGCTTTTCACCCTTTCCCTGTTAATACCTTAAGGCGTAGTTCACCTGAAAACAAAAATGTGCTGCTGTAAATGAGTTTTTCTTCATCAGAACAGATTTGGAGAAAATTTGCATTACATAATTTGCTCCCCAATGGATCCTTGGCAGTGAATGTGTGCCGTCAGAATGAGAATCCAAACAACTGATAAAAACAGTAATCCATGTTGGCACTGATGGCCTCGTGGCGACAAGTACAGCGCAACTGTGTTCGCGACCCGAGTTCGATTCCCATCTCGAGGTCCTAGGCTTGTCCCGCTCCCCTCTCTCTACCCAATACTTTCCTGTCATCTCTCCACTGGCCTTGTCTAAATGAATATAAAGAATAAAAAGCCCCAAAAATTTAACTTAAAAAAAAAACAGTAATCCACGCAACTCCATTAATTAACATCCGGTGAAGAGGAATGTTGTGTTTGTAGTAACAAATCAAACACTAAGGTGGTTTTTAACTTCAAGCCGTTGCTTTTGGCTAAAATATGAGTCCTCTATCCATAATATTGCTGTCAGTAGTGGAAAAATAAAATACATTTTAAAAACCTGATATAATTTGTACGTTTTTCTCACCATGAAAATAGCCACAGAAGCTGGCATGGTGTTAAACACAAACAACCTCTTGTATAAAAACACATCTTGTCTGAAGCAGGAGAGAAATATGCACTGTTTAAGTGAAAACGGTTCTAAAGAAACATGTCTGTGCATTTTGATGTGAGAGAACAAGGCATGGACTTTTTACCTGGAAGAAATGTTATTATAGATTGAACTTGTATTTTGGACTCCCATTCTGACGGCACCCATTCACCCCAGAGGGCCTATTGGTGAACAAGTGATACTAAGTTACTCCAAATCTGTTCCAATAAAGAAACAAACTCATTTACATCTTGGATGGCCAGAGGCTGAAGGTGAGTAAATTTTTTATCTTTAAAGTACTATCTATGAAGTACAATCCATATTGACTATGTGCAGTTATAAGACGCCTATGAACGTAAATGTGTTTAACTGGGTCAGAGTTTGCCTTCTCTGCTCCCTGCCGTTCAGTTCCACTTCTCTGGAGGCCACTTATGTCTGTGTGAAATCACAGTTGAAGATTAATTATCGTTGAATCAGCCTTGGAGGGGTGGAGATGATTTCCGTTCTCTTATCTGAATGTGTGTGGGGATGAGGGTAGGCAATGAAATCTGCACTTGTGCACACATATGGGTTTGTTAGCTACCCCCTTTTTCTAAATCAGATCCATATGAGCCTTGGATCTGAGAGTGTGTTTATCTTAATGGATGTCTTGAGCTTGGCTGATTCAAGTCAGTTGGATTTAATTAATTTAGACAGGCAGCAGTCCTGATACGATGCATTAATCTCATGTTTGATGTGCTTTTTAGTTGATTTGTTGAAGCTGCATGACTGTTGCCCCTTATAGAGTTACCTTTTTATAGATTACATGTTTACTGGCGGGTGTACATCATTTTATCTTTAAGGCTCTTAGCATATTTTCTGTTTGCTCGATATCCATACAAACATAGATTGTTTTTCCATTAAATGAGCTGTAATGCATCAGCATTTTAACTTGCACTCGGGAAGTTTTATGAACGTCTCCATTTTCTGCCTCCACCTCTTTCTTCTGTTGGGAGAGGAATTTCACTGAGGCCTTGCCAAACGGCGGCTGTAGTTTGAAGTGTTGCCAGAGCGCTTTGTGCTGAGCAGCCCTCACCGCCTCCACAAAAAACACTCTTCCCCCTCTTCAGATAGAAAAAGAGAGGGGGGTGGATTTGCCCAGTTTGGACAGGGGGCAGGACAACATGTCTATACAATGGACTTATATGAGCCTCGGAAAGTACAGGACCCAATGACTATGAAGGTGTTTCTTCAACATCAGTCACACAGGGGTAATTTTTTATTTAAATAATTTTTTTTTCATATGATTAAATGAAACTTTTTTTTTTTTTTACATGACGATATTATCAGCTTTTCTCAGTTGTGGTGTCATTTCCACTGCATCCAACATTTTTTGCCCCTAATAAAGTTTTATTGTTTTAGTGTACTTGTGGGTACAAGTACACAAACAGTGTCAAGAGTGTTAATAAATTTAGATCAAATATGAGACATGATTTGTGAAGGAAATTAATAAACACTACCGTTCAAATGTTTGGGGTCAGTAAGCATGTTTTTGAAAGGAGTCACTTATGTCCACCAAGGCTGCATTTATTTGATCAAAAATACAGTAAAAATTTTAATTTTATCATAAAATGTTACAATTTAAAATAGCTGTTTTATATTTTAATACATTTATTTGAAATAAAAATATTTTGTAACATTATAAATGTCTGACTAAAAGTATTCATTTCTTTCAAATAAACTACAGACCACAAACTTTTAAACGGTAGTGTAAACATCACTCGAGAGCCAAATATTTTTTATATTGTGTCATGTCTAATAAAACTTTTTATTCAGAGCACAAGAATGCTACCTAACAAGACAAAGTGCAACATTTTTATTCCAGAAAAAAAAGATAAATGACAGAATTCCCTTGTGATTCATGTATGTCCACTATTGGACAATTAATGTTAAGTGGAAAAAATAAACGTGTTTTAATAGACACAGGGCAAAACCCATATAGGCTAGACGCTCACAGAAATGAATAAAAAGTTACGCAACTCTAACACTTTCTTAGAAGTCACATCGTCAGATCCCAAAAAGAGAAGGTAAGACAGAATACGGGAGATTTCGGCTGCCCTGAAGAGAGAGACAGACAGCCAAGAACTCTCTGACCTTCCCTCCCACATACTCCCTTACCTCGAGGCGACACACCTGTGTGAACGTCTATGTGTTTGAGAGAGACAGCTCGCGAGATCAAAGCTCACAGACGGATCATGATCTAGTGTCTGTCAGTCCCTGCGATGTGAAGACGGCAAGTGTCAAGCTAGACAATAGTTTACTGCAGTTCATGTTTCTTTCTCTGGAGCCATATGAGGTGTGGGAGGAGATAAATTCGAGATTATTAGAGTGCCTTTAAAACAACACAAAGGTGAACTGTAACTCGAATGTTTTTCTTTATTAGCAATGTTTGCAAAGGTCAGCAGGAAAGGTCCTGAAACTTTCGTGTGTGTCATATGCGATTTATCAGATATCATAAGAACAGGCCAACTGTTTGAGCTATTTTTAAAAATGGCTCCTTTCGCTTTTCGAAAAAATGAATCGGTGGGTGATGAGTCAGTCAAAAAGATTCACCACACAGCCTCGGCTCGATCATGACTCATGAGTTAGTGGTTTGAATTATTAGACTCGATCAGTGAATCGTTCACGATTACGAGTCCCTCACTGTCAAATATGATCCCCCACCCCAAATATATAACATAGTTAATTTTAATTTTGTTGAGATAATTTAGTTGTGGTTTGTTTTACTTGGGCGTTTCTGTATTTGGTTGGGTTGTGAGCGGTTGTGAGGATGTTTCTTTAGCCTATTTGTTTGTGCTGTGACTCTTGTTAGGATTTGCAGCATGTTCTTTATTTGGTTGTGTTGTCAGTATTTGCAGCACATGTGCTATCAAACTGATGAAGATGTTTTCTTAATTAGCTGGTTCTTTTTCTATTTGCTTGTGTTTTCTGAAGTTGCAGCGCGTTGAGCTCTCTCGGCCACCGTACAAAATACAATTTTCATTATATTATATTTATTATATTATAACATTAATAATATAAATGAATAATGTGACATCATTACATCACACATTTTTTAAAGATTTATTTTTGGTGTTTTCGCCTTTAATTTGATAGGACAGTGCAGAGACGACAGGAAGCGAAGTGGAAGAGAAAGAGTGGGACAGGATCCAGAAAGGTCCGCGAGCCTGGACTCGAACTCGGGACACCTGAAGCACAACGGCGTGTT